AGCCAATTTTACCCTCTTGCTCTATTTAACACTGTAGGAAGCACAGATTACTTTCTCTGGCGTAAGACTGATATTTGGTAACGGGGAAACCCTGCTATAGGTTTTAAGCTTGGTTTCCATAGAAATCGCTCCTTTGGCGACGCTGATTGGTCAGTTGAACCAGTGAGCGTTCCAGATTGCGTCGGGGACAGCTACGCAGTGCAAGGATTGCAGTGAAAACGCTGTAGCGACTGTGTAGCGATTCTATGGAAACCGGGATTCATGGAATGTGTTCCGGCACTCCAATCAGGAGGCGAGTGCTGTTACGCCAAGATAAGACACAGCTCAACTCCAGAGAACACTGTGTAATTAGAACACAAAGAGCATTTATCATTCAATAATTAAACAGCAAATGTCTATTGCTATCAATTATTTAGTAATATGTATTTTAATTCATGATATACACTTAACATTCTTCACGTGCGCACAGTCTAATATCAATATTAATTTTTAATATTTAATACGAGTAATGTGTCATGTGGTTTGTTAGCTAAATGAGCATTGAATTAAATGATTTGAACAAACAGCATGTGTAGAATTTTGCATCCCTTTTTCTCCTCCTTCATTAAAAAAATATAAAGGCATCTAATTAGAGCCGAACATACTAATCATGTCTATATTCAGCAAACCTTGTGGAAACAGTGCAATCTCATTTTTCAGTATTTAGTGTGTTGAAGTATGTATTGTGTTAAACACAATGGTGCTGAAGATATTCATGTACATGTCTGTATTTGCCTGGTTTCATAAACGTATATTATACGTTTAGCTTCGTTTATCGAATTGATGCAATCTGGCTGACTGATTGACTGATATACTAACAACTCAAAAAAATTGTATTATACCTCCTTAATGTTTTTTTTTTTTTTAATAAGAACATGTTTATACGTGGATGACATGCCCGTGTAATATGTTACTGATTTTTTCTGGCTAATAATAATTCTCACTTTGCTTTCAGGTACAATGAACAAAGGAAGTGTTAATATGAACTATACCAAGCAATAAGCGAGTGTTGATTAACAGTGTTATGATGTCACAGCTTCACGTCGTCATTGCGTCACTAAACGTAACGCGTAGGATATATTGCGTTCACTGCGTTCAGCAGCATACTAATTGTGTTCTTGTAAATGAACAGCGAAACATTGACTGGTATTGTGACTTGGTTTACGATGTAAGCATGTAGTTAGTATATATAGGCCTAACCTTAATGTTTAATCCAATTCATCTGATAAATGAGTCACTTTTGTAAATAATATCTTGCACAAAGTAACGGTTTACAAAATAGTTCATTGGGACATATTTCTATCAAATATAATGCCACAAGGTTGATATGATATATATATTTTTTTTTGCAATGACGTCATCATGGGTGGCCGATCTTGTAAAATTAATTCATCGAATATGTTATAAAGAACGCGCGATTTGATTGGAGGACGCAGCGCATCCTCACAAGAATCAACACACCGCAGCGTGAAAGTGAATACAATTTAATTACACATTTTCAACGACATTTTGGATATTTTCTGACGACCAGCAGTGCGACTCGCCGATAGAAAAAAAAAATCAATCGGCCGAGAATTGCAAACATACAAAAGGCCTTTTGATTAAATAGGAACATAACGTTTTATTGCCGAAAATATACATCGTTAACATATGGAAATAACCTGTTTCGTGAAATAAAGTATTTTAAATACCACGAGGATTTGGAATAGTCAACAATGTCTGTATTATTACTCATCTGACAGACTGGATCGAATAATAAAATCCATTGTTTAACAGTGTGACACAGTTGTGAAAAAGTTGCTTCAGTTCTTCCAGGTGACGTTGTCGTAGCGAACGCGATTGCCTTGAATGTTTATATTTTTTTCGTCTGGATCAATTACTGTATGTTCTGCTATGGACCGAATCGTTATAAAATTCATGTTATTTTCATTGCTTTATGTGCCACATTTTAGCAATGGAATTGTGCAGGATCAGGGCCTGCAAAACAAGGCCACGAAGCAGGACAGGAAATGCGAGCCCGGTGATGTATATAGCTCCTCTATGAACCATTGTCTCACATGTTCTCTTTGTGATACGTTCCCAAACTCCTCGATCTGTGTCAATTGCAGTAAAGGTAAGAACCCGTCGTATAAATACGAATATTTTAATTGTATTTCTATTTATTTTATTTGTTTATTGATTATCGATTTATTTAACATCATTTGCCTATTGAATATTGATCAAATGATTGCCTTCTGATCCCAGGGTCATGGGATAAATACCTGCCACAGCAGGACTTTTTCTCACGACTAAAAACAACTCCTCTCCCAAGGCCTCATAAAGAGATTCCATTCTGTAAGTGGCGAGCGTACTTTCTGTTGTATGTGAAGGAAATAAAAAAAAATATCTAAAACTTGACATTCATAGGCCTATACAGTAATGTCGATCCATATAAAATAATTTATTTATATTGAATACCGATTGATATAGGCCTAACTATATTGATTATTGATTGATTATTAATCCTTATCGATTTACTTTTCAGTGACAATAGATCGAGTAGGTAATGAACAGAAGCTGACGATGGATTTATTAAATGGATACAACAAACATCTTCGGCCATTAAGAAATTCTTCCAACGCGGTCGATGTTTACTTCACTTTTAAAATGAAACAAATTGTTGATATTGTGAGTCAAAATATAAATCTTTCGTTTTCAATTTTTGTTCATAAAACAACTCAGGATCATATATCTAAGCTTATAAATGCTACATAAAAAAACACAAGCAAATATACAAGAATATTCTTAGGACTAGTGAAGCGATTACGTAAGTCAAAAGTTGTTTTTTTTTCTCAGAAAATTATATATAGAATCTTTGTTGCACACAATTAGTCATTTAAACTAACATTTAGATACATCTGAAGATAAAATTGCATGTCACGCAGGAACATTGAGGCCTATGACACGTTTTGTATCTCGCGCCTAAACCGTATAATTTCTTCACTTCCACGTACAAGATACGGTATAGCACTTTTCCACAAAGCACTCACACGGAAGAGATCCACATAATACACATCTGAAATATTGAAAAACGAAAATATCGGAAGATATTTTTTAAATGAATATTGATATGTAAAGAGATAAACTTTTCTTCTTGCGGTGTTAGGAATACGGTATATAAAGAAATATATACAAATAAAATTATATATATTTACATAATTATTTATAGGCCTATATATAGTAAACTAATATACTAAACCTGTCTCTTATGCACATCTAGATGTGTATAAGAGACAGATACTAATAGTCGAGCGACATATACCCCGGGGTCACACCGCTTGACTACGAAGAACTTTTGGTATTACCACAGATTTTACCCAGAGAGATACATTTCAATGCACTACAACTGATATATTTATCTATTTGTTTATATATTCATGTTCAGTGCTACGGAGCATACCGTACTATGATTTAAATATGTTGATTTACTATAATTTCAACTGCGACTAGTGTCTTTGGCCTTCCCCACAGCCCCACTTCGTAAGGGAGTATATCAGTACAGAATTCATTACCGCACGATGGTTACAAAAATATATAGGCCTATAAATTGTAAATGATGAAGATGAAAATATAGATGAGAGCGAAACGGAATTCAACCACAGGTCTTCTGTTTGGTTGGCGAAATATTAACCAGTCAGGCCAATAAGACTTCATAGCGAATTTAAAAGTGATTTAAGGCAACGTATGCAACCTACACGTACACATCATAATATTTGCAAGTAAATGTTTATTAAACTATCAGTAGTGGGGTGGGGGAGGCAGGATTCCCCCGACGGCTGTGTGTTTGGATGTCCCCGACGAGGAGGGGGAGGGGCAATGTCTCCGACGATACCTTAAATGGCAGGGGTGGGATGCAGCCCCAGGAAGAAATTATTTTAAAGGCTTATTCAATCGATTTAGAGTCTAACAATCTGTAAAAAATACATAAATTGCCCTGCTCCCCAACCCGCATCCCCACCACTGGCGCAACTCGTGGGAATTATACGAACACACGCAGGTGACATGATAGTACGTAAGGCTACAAATTGATCGCTATATACCTGTAAGACGTGATATCTGAATTAATATTTGAGCAACTCAAATAAGTGTATGATAAAATAATTCAGATCGTTAAAACACTCATATAGGATTAGATAATGCATGCAATAAACCATAATGGTAATAACAAAGGATTAATTATAACTCTTTAGCATAATAAACGTTGTTGAAGCATCTGGGTCTGTAATAGTAAATGTAAAAATAGAAGAGTATCCCATATGTCGCAGCAATTCTGCTGAGTTGCATTTAGGTGTGGTCCCTGACTACTGTGCAGCCGGCTGTGTAGTTAGTTTTCTATAAAATGCAATCGGTTATTTAAAGATACGAGCCAGATGTGTACAGAAAAATATTTTGTTTTATTCTATCATTGAGTATGTTAAAAACCCACTTTTTAAAATGACAAATCGTATGTTAGGCAAGCAGGAAGAAAATTTATTATTATCTATTAATCTCAAGCACTCTGGCTGTAAGCACGCTAAATTAAAAGCCATGGACCTACCAGGCGGTAGGTTCAAAGGATTATCTCTTCATTACATTGATGTCAGATTCACTGCCTACTCCGTTGGGATGATGCATCGGCTGCAGAATGCTGTTTAGAAGTTCAATAGTTAATTTTGCAATCCGACCCTGAAAGTGAAAGACATAATATATCAGTGATTATTACACCTGGATTTTATTTCATTTAAATCTCTTTATATTTCACTGAACATCAATCAATATGAACTTGTTGAATATCAACAGGAACTTCGAATTAAGCTCCTGGAGACCAGCGCAGGCTGCTGGGGCAGCGCGTACTAAGGTCCCAAAGCGGAGACAACTAATAATACTAATATCGTTTCCGACTAGTTCTCTTTCGTGCACACATGCTATAATGCATAAGGTAGCAGCGGCTTAACGTCTCAGCCAAAGGACGATGTAATGGATCTTTGCGCTGAGCCTCAATGCATAAGCATAGGACTTTGGTATTTGTTATTGTAATCGTAAACACAAGCGGAGATGCTTGTGACTAATAGATATTGCACCGTTCCAACAATCCAAACATTTCCTGTGAGTGAAAAACAAATAAGAACATGCTGAGTTTTTCCATTACGGTTATGTTGCACATTTACACCTATGGACTCTGTAACCACAATGCGCTACACGCACAATAATGACGTCACGCGTAAGCCACTACATTACAGAAGCGTGTCGTTGGTAAACATGACGGTGTTATGCTTTTAGGGCTTCATTATTCGTCACGGGACCATCTTGTTCCCAAAGGGTTGCAGGGACAGACGGACATATGGGTCCAAGTGTATGGCACCTAAAACCTATAAATTGTACATGGCGAATGCAAGTCTGGCCGTCGTCGATGAAACGCGTTTCACGGAACTCAAAGCTGTCGAATATCAATTACTGGAACAGTAACTGCTAGCGTTGTGTGTATTCAACAACTCAACATTAAACTTAGATTGATCATAATTTCAACACATTCGTCTCGCTATCTAGTCCGTGAATTGTCGATTGTTCTACGTGCCTCATTGCAATTCGACATCTCTTTCAGATATCTTTTACATTCCTTTCAAGGATTGTAGATCTTCGTTGATTTATAATGTTCAAAATTGTCAGTAAATCTTGTGCACATCTGAAGTTGATTGAATACTTATCACAATCCACGCATGCGCGTTAACTTGTAAACATGACAGTGCGATATCGAATCGTTATAATAATAACAATTCATTATAATGGTAGAATAATGAAAATTAAATTATAGATATTAATTATAAAAAATAGTAATAACAAAAACCGAAAGGTCCACTGATTAATCTCAGATAAGAAAGTATAATACATACTCCAAGTATTGAAATACACGCCATCGTGTTGGGATTCAATATTTCGACATTAATTATGTCATCATCAGAAATATGCACTAGTACCAAAAGTGTTTAACCAATCAAAACATTACCTCTAGTAGGTGACATAGCAGTGATTTAAACAAAAGATCAAAGCATTCTTACTCTAATGATCAAAGATACCTACAAAAACAAAGAATTAACAAAGTAATAACAAAGATAATAACAATAATACTAATAATAATAACAATAACAATAATGTAATATTGAATTTCATTTATGTTAAGCCAAGTGCAAATAAAGTTTTGATGAATAACAATAATATCGTTTTTTGTATATATATTATTATTATTGTTATTATTATCATCATCATCATCATTATTATTATTATCATCATCATCATTATTATTTTTATTTCTAGCATTATTACTATTTCTATTATTATTATTATTATCATCATCATTATTATTTTTATTTCTAGTATTATTACTATTACTATTATTATTATTATTATTATTACTAACAATAACAATAATAATAGTAACATATATGTGAGGAATATTTTAGTTCTTGAGTAGTTCAATTGAAAGTCTGTAAGTGTTCACTCCCATAAAACATCCTTTTAGTGAATTGTGAATTCGTAATGTGCAAAGATTATATTTGATTGATATATACATTTTCTCGCTTATTAAATTACTGTGCGTTGTTTTCTGGATATAAAATGACTTAAAAACTGTGTTATCTATCACACTGATTTGAAAACAATATTTTTTAAAAGGTTTCATACTCTAGAGTACATACGTCTATAATTGAACCAATCAAATCTAAGAAATCTAATTTAGTAGCAATCGCTGAGTTTAACCTCAATTACATTAAATATTATAATCGCACGTTACAGATAAATGCTAAAGATAATATGATAAACATAATGATAATAATGATAACATGACTATTAATTATTACAATAAATAATAATAATGATAATCATATGGAAAAAGTATTTATACTAAAATAACAATATATATATGAATGTAATAAAGAATAATATTAAAATAACATAATTTAATGTTTAATGTACTACAATGTACTAAATTTAAATGTAATTGTTGATTAATACAGTACCAAAAAAATTAATTTATTCATAAAAAATATAAGGCATAAGAGCTTATCATTCATGCCGTACAGCACTGTGGTGTATATACACCTGTCTCTTATACACATCTAGATGTGTATAAGAGACAGGCGATTTAAAGGCCTAGGCCTATTGGCTTAAAACAAGAAACAGAAGAGGAATCTGACAAAAAAAAACTCAACCTCCATTGGGACTCGAACCCGGGACCTTTCGTATATACAGGAAGAAAATGTACAGCATATATATAATATATATATATTATATATATGTATAGGCCTATAAATGACAAAAGCCATTGTAATATGATGACATTTTATAATAGATATATTAATATGTTCCATAGGGGTGAGGGTGTTAAAATATTATGGAATGTTTATCTCCTATAGAGTGAACGAGACCAGATTCTAAAATTAAATATGCACATATATGAACACTGGTACGATGAGAAACTTGTATGGAAGCCAGAACATTACGATAATATCTATGAAATAAGGATTCCTGGTTCTGATATATGGATCCCAGATATTACCCTATACAATACGTAAGTTGGTTTTTTTTTCATTTTTTTTATGTATACATGGCATTTATTCTCTTTAGCTTGGAGCTGATACTCGTCTACATGATTTATCTTATACGACGTGCTTCAAAATGTCGATATGTAGAAAGACTATTTTTTTTCTGATGGTTTGAACGTAAAGAATACGTGCAAGCCAATAGGCATGACTCGTTTGGAGAATACCGAATACTTTCTGGCATCCTGCGACATGTAAAAATGGTTGTTTCAGCCTACCCTAGCTTAGACTTAGGACTGACTGACACTCATCCACGTTCTTTCTGCCCATGGGAGGTGGAGCTTTCTTATTTCTGTGAGGTCCAAAGTAGACTCTCGAAGCTCGGGAAAATGAACAATTTCACGCTTGTTTAGAGAAGCTTTTGCTACTGGGGAGGAGGTGGATGGGAGGTAAAAATACCTCATACCACCGTATCTTATATATTTTCAGCTAGTTCCCCCTCACGTAATCGAGCCCTTACACCTTTGCGTTCCCCTTTATAAACCCCTACCCCATTTCTATAGGCCTAGCCTACTCCCAGATACGCCACATCGAATAGTTTAACCAACTTTACTATGATATTCTCTCGGTATGATAACAGGAAAGACGATTCTAAAATACATAAAGCTGAAAAAAAATTAAGAGAAAAATATTTACTGGCGTGAGAAGATCGTGATTAATGGAGTAAGAAACTATTAATGGATGGTTAAGGAAGAGGATGATGGACGATGACGGATGAGTAAGTGTGAGGAGTGAATGCTTTCATATAGGCCTACTATTAGTCTTTGGCTGACTTTAGCGGAAGTAGTTTACTTTTGGAGAGAAAATTCATTGGAGGATGTTAATTTAATGTTTATTGTCTTATTAAAAGAAATTAACTTCAGAAAGAGGAAATGCGTGTGAATGCTTGGTAATAGTTATTTTAAATTGAAGTAAGTATTAACGTCGTTGGAAACAAGAATCCATAGGTATAATATCAACAACGTGGATAATTCGCATCTGTTTCGTGTATATTCACACTCAAAGAAGTAGACGTTAATTGGTCACTTGGGAAACGTATATTTGATTATCTTTATGTCATTATCGATGTAGATTTAAACGATATGTTGCTTGCGCCACTCCTCTCATCATCCACCTTCAATTGAATTTAATTGTCTTTATGGCGGTTTCAAGACCTTATAAGAACGATAACGAATACGAAATTATTTTCTTCGTTCTACCTCACATTTCGCACAACGAATACATGAATTAAATACGTATTATTTTATCACAGACTTGTCTATGCCATGTGCTCTATTAAATTTGTCGGTAATAAGCAGTGAATATGCCTATTGCTGAAGTCTACACCAACACTATCAATATCACCATCTCCCAGTCATTATCATTATTAACAAGAGCAGAAATTATCGTTATTGTATACTATAATTTTAATTGTAATGATAATGATAGTAATAATATCAGTACTGTATTATTCAGTGCAGGCCTATCTATATCAACATCGATATCATCATTATTGTCTTCTTTCTCCTGATTCTTATTATTCATCTATTTCATCTTCTTCTCCATCTTCATTATTGTCATGAACATCGAGCACCACCACCTGTAGAACCACCATCACCATTCCCACCCATCCTTTCACCTACGCCACAATCACCACATTATGGACCTGCAACAAATAAATAACCCCCACCCCCAACACAAACGTTAGCCGACACATTATTACCACTCTCTTCACCCGTAACCTGATTTCTCGCATTGCGACCCCAGCATCGCTGTGATCGTTGTTCGTTTCGCTGATAAAACATACATCAGTATAGTACCTCTCTGCATAATTTGTATCTTCAACTCTGTATTTCCAAAGCACACCGCAACAATTATATTGAATCTCAAGACCTTACATTTTATCTGCCTCCTACACATTTCACATTTGTCGAATCACACTGAATTAGGTGGCAATTGAATTAAACATTATGTCCTCTATAAGCGGTAACGTGCTTATAAATGACGAGTAGGAAGACGATCATTGTTTGAGGTTTTGATGTAAGGTAATGTTGTGACTGTTTAATCATAATAAAAATGAGCCATTCGCTGCGACAAAAATTAATTGAGTTTACCCACTAACATTATTCAATTCTGATAATCTAGGTACAGTAAAATGTCATGAATGTATATTTAACATAACTGTATGTATTAACCCACCTGTTTTTGTTTTGTACAATTTGAGTGTAAATTATATATACAATATATGTATATATAATTATATATATACATATATATATATATCACTTATATAAAGAATATATATCACTGAAATAAAGAAACTTTTCGTTGATAAGCTATGTTTGATACGATTATTACAATTTGTTCGTATTTGAGCCGTGTTATTATTATTTATCTATTTGCATCACACCCCGGGCATCTAGGTAACCCCCTACGTACTCTTCTGAAAGATGCAATCAATTATTTAAAGTGCACACGAGTCAGATGTGTACACTGCACCTCCATTTTAAGTCTTTATCCGAAAAGACCTGGTTCTACCAACTGAACCCTGAGCGACGAGCGGCTCGAATCAGCGCCGATGTTAAGTCTATATTTTAGCGGCACCCCTGCCTTACCCTCGGCCATATCGGGCGACGCGTGAGTGAGAGTGACCCTCCTTAGTGCTGGAGACCCTGCTGGAGTATACCTCCAACTCCATATGGGTGTGTACATGCGTAAATTTGTCCTCTTCCCCGACTCAAACGACCACTAAACTTACGGATTCAATTCCGCACCTAACTGGTAATTTCACTTTTAAAAGTGTGTCCTTAGTTGTTGTCGTCCGTCTTATTACATTATCGTCAAAATTCCACGTGATTTAGATTTAGCACAATTGTACTTGCAGATCTACTAACGAATCATATCAACATTTTAACAGGTACCAGATAGGCCTATTTTGTGAACATAAGTAGAAAAGCAAATCTGTTCCAATGATGATCAAACACGTTAGTGTGTATAACGTACGTGCAATTGTGCATTTCACATTATTTTAATGGCGTGGACAAGTGCATTCAAGTTCCCCTATGTATTTGGGCGATTGATAATGAGATCTCTCTGACAGAGATTATTGTTGATGTTTCTTTTTTTTACAGTAATACATAGCAGTTTTTAAACCCCACCTGTCATAGACTTATACCCCTCGCGGCATGATTATAAAATCGCGTTTGGAATATCTTTAATCGACTGATGTAAATTCATCTATCCAGGTTGACGATAATAAATATCAATTAAAACTTTATATCTCTGGATAAAGCAGAAAACAAAAGAACTTAGTTGAAAGCTTAAAACGTAAGTTTAACCAAGTTACAAGAAAGAAATTATTAGGCATATGTGTTGGGGACGATCCAGTTAAGGGTGTAAATTTGAGGGTCATTTAAATATTCTAGGTCCCAGCCTTAAAAGTCTCTTTAAAAAAATCAATGGTATCATTGAAACTTTGTATAACAGTTTGTCCAGGTCTTGTAAAGAAATGATTAAATTGTTGTGATAATCCGGTAGGGTGTGGATCTAAGGACATTCGAAGGAAAACGTCCCAGAACAAATATTTCAAAAACGGATCAACTGATCTACTAAAAAATAATATGTACAATCTGTATTGAAATAATTTCTTTGTGAAACATACATTAAATTTTGAGTGCATAACATTAGGATTAGGCGAGTAAATGGACCAAGAACGACAATATCGGATAGATACAGGATCAGTTACGCCGTCCGGCCGTCAATGTATTTCACTGTCATTCCGAGTTTGATTTAATCTAGGCATAATACGGATGAGACAGAATTTGTAATCTAAGTCCAAAAACATTCAAATTTGAATGTATACTGATGAATTGGCACCTGGTGACACATTGTTTTATTTTTTTGTTTCCTCTCTCATTTGGAAAGACGATTAAATGTCCATTATGCTGTCAACGAATAAATAGCGAATACTAAAAATGATGATTATTAATGATATCGAATGAACACCATTTAGCATCGTTGTATTTAAATTTAGAATAATAAATTTAATGCATTTACAAATAGAACGACAATAACAAGATTCTAATACATAATACAAATATGGCATTCGGGGAAAACTGCGCACTATATTTTGAAATAGTTATGTGTCGAGAAAATACCGTGGTCGCTTGCATATCGGAATAATTGCGCGTTTTTGGGAACTAATTCGAGTTGTTGACATCGTCCCGGTAATTTTTTTTTTTTAATATTCCCTTTATTAGTGACTAACTGTCGGTAGTCCTGTCGCCAGCTATTTGTCTGTATGTGGAAAGATATTAAACTTAGATGATGCGTTTGAGGTCTGCAAAGTGAATTAAAAAACGATATCACAACACCTAATAAACACCCAACGGCAAGAATTGACACCATTGCGTCGGGCTTTACCCATCGGGGATATATATGCCGCACTTGACAATTTTGAAATTCTAAATTCATTAAAAAAAAGGCACGTAGATTTAGTTTATCACTTGAAAGAGTACGTGCAATGGATTAGTCATGGCCTATGCATAGTATTAACATCTCTTGGCGACGATGTATGATACGATAGCTATTTGCAGCTTAAAAATCATGGCATAAACTTAACAAAGTTAATTTGTTCACAAATAATTTGGTCTATATAATATAATATTCGGTCAGCATGGCGACACAATTATAGGTCTATGCCTTGACCGCTTCAGTGGCGTTATAGCAAAATTTACGTGATGCGCATGCGATGGCAACAGACCAGAATACAATGCCTATGTCAAAATAAACAATCAACTAATTTCATTATTATTATTATTATTATTATTATTATTATTATTATTATTATTATTGTTGTTGTTGTTGTTGTTATTATCATCATCATCCTCATCATTATTATTATCAGTTTTATTCTTAATTATCATTAACAACATCAATGTTATTCATAATTTTGTAATTAATCACTTGGATTTCAAATGATTAATTCTATTTTTCTTTGCATTTAGAGGCGAAAGCAAAACCCAAGATTTCATGGATAAGCTGCTCTTAACAAACGCCGTTGTCAGATATGACGGGCTTGTACGTATTGCCAGTAAGCCCTTCATTGTACACAGTATATGCCTCTTAAACATTACACATTTTCCGTTTGACTACCATGAATGTTCACTGAAGTTCGGCTCTTGGACATATGATAAAAGTTGCTTAGATTTGTTTAACGCCACGGAAGCGCCGATCATACAAGAACTAATGCCGAACGAACAATGGCAAATGCTTGATACGTATTTCGTACGAAATGTAGAGCCTTACGTCTGCTGCCCGGATGTATTTTACGTCGACGTAACGTGCATGATAAAACTTCATCGTAAACCGCTTTATTATATATATAACCTAGTGATGCCAATATTTCTGTTATCCGCTTTATCTATGGTTGGTTTCTGGATGCCATATAGTGTCGCAGTTGTGAAGGCCTCACTCTGTGTTACACTGATACTCTGCTTAAATGTATTCATGTTGATAGTTGCAGATACAATGCCAAGAACTTCTGATCATTTTCCTTTAATCGGTGAGTATAATTATTTAAATATATAACATAGGTAATGAAATCCTGAAAACCCACTCAAACATTCTGTTGAAATAATTAATTGCTTTTTCAAAATGTGGAAGTGATTAGCTTTCAATTTCACACTGATTAAACAAGTTCTCGAAAGCTCCGATGAGGGCAGTATAAGAGAGGCAGTAGAGTATATTGGCAACGGGCGCCCATACAAAAAAGATCTATTCATCAATCAGCCGAGTGTTTCTTGAGCTCCTCATCGGAGCTAAAAGGCCTTCGTTCATTAATTTAACTTTTAAAAAATCGAAATTATTTACATAAAATGTTATTATTTTATAATTAATTATTCTCAATTTGAATGTTTTGTATATTGTTTTCTTAACTATTTTATGTGATCACTTTCTAATGTAAGTGAAATTTTCTGATATTTATCCTTTTGTAATATCCAAATTATGTATTTTCATTAGTAACAAAATTACATTGAACTGAATTGAATTGAACATTACATAATATTGTATTGCATTATATTACATCAAAATATAATCATACATAGTTACAAAAATAACAAATCACATCATTTCATATAGGCCTATAATATCATCCATCTATCATATCATATATCATATTCTATCGTATCATATATCGTATCGTACCGTACCACAGTATATCATATTATATTATCATTTGTATGTGGGTATGGTGGGCTTACCTCAGGACTTACCCCGGTACGCATTGCTTGATGCACATAGGCCTAATTGCTAATTTTATTGTATGGAAATCGTTTCAGAAATGAAATACTGAATGTATCAATATCATATATATAATACAAATTAACAGAATAATCAATTATCAATTTATATATTTATATATATATATATATATATATATATATATATATTAATGGTTTGACAAAAATTTCAAGAAGGTTTAACAACAAAAATCAATGCAATTCCTTTAAAGATGTACTTACCAACACTCTAACCTTATCATTCACAAAGTTGACAAAATTCCGTTTTCACTTGCATCATTATAATTACCGGTATTTCCCCCATAAAAACTCCGTTGGGTTCTGACAGTGAAAAGTAGTAACTAAAGTCCGTATAAATCTACTTTATTTTTTCTTTTACAGCCCAATATTACATTGCAATTATGCTCCTAACGTCAATCTCAACGGCCATGAATGTGCTAATATTAAACATTGTTGACCGAGGAGAGTCGAATACAACGGAAGTTCCTCATTGGTTGAAAGTGCTAACTTTTGTCTACCTGTCCAAAATCGTCTGCATAAAATTTACATGTGCGTCTGGCGGTGAAGAAGAAGATTTAGAGACAAGTATGTGGAGAAAACACGTAAGGAAAAAAAGTCGCCACCGTACCATGGTGAGATCACGTACGTCGTCCAGAAGTTCTCTTGTCACGCGGTAAGAAGACCATAATAATGTCAATATAAGCAATTGAAAGCAACAATTAAAGGATGCGTCACATACTATACATGTATTTATGACGTCAGTTATTAAGACTCCAACATCGCTGAGACAACTATATTATAGAGTTGTATCAGCTTGTTAGCAAACCCACCAGAAATAAAAGGAACAATAAAGGGCACAGTAAAAATTCACAAATTTTTCTATGATCTTTTTGAAAAAAATTCCAAATGAGGTAGCCTACCCGAAATTTGTCATTAAGTGCACGACGTTGGTTTTCTTTGTGTTTTCTGGTCAAATAATTGTATCCGGTTGGCCTATTTAACACCATAAATTTAAACGGACGTTAATTTTATTGTTTTGTGGTTCTTGCTAAATACTTCGTCTTTTTCAGAACATAATATCTTCTTGTTCATTTGCATATTTCGTTCCTTGTGTAAGTCAACCTCGGTTTCCATAGAATCGCTCACCCTATCAGCTTCAACTTTGCCCATTGCGTTGCAGATGAATCAGGGTGCATTACTAGCTGCCCTGACGCAATCGGGAAGGCACCCCGATTCGTCTGCAACGCAATCGGCAAAGTTGAACCAGGTTCAACCTTCCCGAGATCAGTCCGCGACTGTCGCCGATAGAGTGAGCGATTCTATGGAAACCGAGCTTCACTTTTCGTCCTTATTCCTTATTCGCCTCTATGAACTGTTTACTTATATTTTCTTTGTGTTTTTATCACAGGACAGGACATGGCCGTAGTTCAACGCACCTTGTACCACGTGATATGAGCAATTACAGTATGTCTAGCCAGTATGGTATACACGTTCCGACAGCCAGATCAATTGAAGAGCAGAACGCTCTGGAGGAAACTGGAAACTTGGATTCACACAATTGTATTTACAAACTATATTTGGCGCGCATTGCCACACCGGTTGAAGATATACTTGCCAGTATACGAACTGCCAGTGCGAAAACGCAACGCAATGAACGAATTCTGCGCGACTGGCAACGCGTTGCAGAGGTCATCGATCGTTTTATGTTCTTAATCTACGTTATTAGCACAATTTCTGTAACCCTGGTTTTACTTTTGTTTAATCCACAACGGGCGATGAGTACACATACTGCTACCAGAACCGCTAATTTAGTTAATTCATCTCGACCGTGGACTTGGATAGATCAACTTTAAACAATGGTTTAATAACCTTTTAATATATAAAGAATATTTGCAAGAGTATATACATGGAAAATAGTAGACTAAAGCAAATCGAATGATTTGGCCAATTATTCGTATATGCAAAAAATGGCGAGAGTACATGTATACACTGTATACACTGCATCTACATAACGCACGAAAAACAAGCATCTCGATAACAATTGAAAGTAGGCTATGACGCTCATGGGAACTCTAAAAACACGAGTTTTGGTTCGTCATCCGCAAAACAAAAACAACTCATCTTGTCACGGAATTGTATCTGTTTTTCTTTTACTTTATACAATTGATTTATTAAGTTTAAACTCATGTAGCGTAATCACCGCCCACCTCGGCATTGCTCGACACTTCGGCAGGAAGAGGGCGAGTATCGGCATGGGATTGGCATTACCTTGTGTGACAGTCCTCAAAACGAATGACCCATTTGTAGGCCTACGTAGCCTACTGGTAGTAGACACAAAAACTATAAAACAATTCTACTTAGTGACGGTGCCAGGTATTCTCCGACGAGGTGTCGAAGGTCCCCGACATGAGGTCTTCAAGCACCTCAGACCCCACCATAGTTGGGGCTAAATTGAGCAAATTTAAGCACTGGTAGATGTCCACAGTGTTTCCCGACGAAATGATTGCCTTCTTTCTCAACCCAGGAAGAGTCCTGTTCCTTCAATCCCGATCTCTCCACTAGCGCCACCACTACTAACTCTACCACACGACTAGGCTTACTAAATTATATTTTTACTGCTCTGATGCTGCTACAAATTGCTGCTACCTGTCCCGAACTGCAATTTGTTTTGGAAGGGCATTATACATCTCCAAATCTTGGAAACATTATTAATAAATTACATTTATTATGCATGAAGCAATACCGATAAGTTATCAATGCAGTGTATAAGAATACTATATAGGCCATACGTCTAACAGTGGGAGGGGGAGGGGAGGGGTAAACGAAAGTAAAAATATAACATACAGGTAGTTAAGAATTGTCCATTATATAAACGTGTATGGTATTGTTTATCAGTCATATCGTAAGTATGGTGTAGATTGTAAATAGTGAAGGCGTATGTTGATAAAATTCGATGTTATTATGTTCAATAGGAAATGTAATCCGGTCATTAACAACAATTGCGGCAAGGATAGAATGATAATTATCTATATGTTGCTGCAACTATTGTGGACAAGCACATAGCGTCAATACAGACACCAAACTGTCATTCGCTTCCCACGAGAATCAAGTTCTCAACTCTAGGCGCGTTATTGCGCAACCGCGAGCGCCACAAAGCTCAGACGACGCAGGATCCTTTGGGAGTGTGCAAAGCGATGCAAACGTGTATCATGTATTCAGGAAAAAAAGAACCAGTATTATTAGCATTTTTATGTTGAGCTAAATTAGGGATTTGAAATGTCTGTCTACACAATTTGATTACATTTCAATAAATGTTTTATTTAAGTTGACCGCTGTATCATGTATGCATATTCACATGAATAAAACGACATAAACATTCAACCAGACGTTCACAAACAATACGATAACCGTTCTTAGTTCGGCCTACTTTTAATATTGAGTTATTAGTATCTACATTTTGGTTGAATAGTATAGTCTCTGACCATTTTTTTAAATGAATATTGTGGTTATTACATTTTGGTTTACTGATCTTATGAAATAGTCCGCGTTGCCAGTTTTATAATATTTAATATAATTTTTACATTTTTGTTTATTATTAGACAATAACACAATTGTTGGTAACTTACGGGTTTCTGATACTAGAATACTTACCATCTGATACATAAACTAGATTAATCTACACTTTTAAACTTAAACATCATTATTATTAGGCAAATTACAAATTATCAAATCGCCGTTCTTAAGCCACGCCTCCTCAAGTGACTGACAAGATTAACCAGGCCCTTAAGCTTGTCTATTAATTTCAACTATAAAGCTAAGTTCGAGATTTTCATGACTTCGGTTGAGAACCAGGTTGTTAACGATCTGCTATATAAGTTTTACGACCCTAGGTAGGCTTATGCATTTAAGCCTTGCATGTATTTGCAAAGTACCGAGCACATTTACTTATTATACTGTCAATTTCGTATGAATGTATCATTTATGAAGCCATTTATGAATAAGCTAACATGCATACATTAGTTTGGTATAACACACACA